AGCATATAGCTAAAACCTTGATGGTTTTACAATAGCAGCTGCATTCTGACGTGATAAGCTTTATGTTTTATATTCAACTAACGTGTGATCCTCAATGTTTTAGTTAGCATATAGCTAAAACATTGATGGTTTTACAATAGCAGCTGCATTCTGACGTGATAAGCTTTATGTTTTATATTCAACTAACGTGTGATCCGATTAGTCGACTAATCGAATAAATAATCGGTGATTAATCGATTATTAAAATAATCGTTTGTGGCAGCCCTACATTTAAGCCAACCATTGCAGTTTATGCAGTTCTTTGCGATATGCCTATTGCACCGGCTGTTATCGCAGTGACGATATATTTCCGATATATTGTGCAGCCCTAAACTGCAGCACCTGAAAAAGCTGCATTTATCATCCATCTTTATCAAGGTTGATGTTCGACTTGAAAACTTAACCAGAAAACTTCTGTTTGTTTGTTTGTTTGTTTGTTTCTTGTCTGTTAAGATTAAAAGCTCTGTTCTGAGCCAACGCGAGCCTGAACACCAGTAAATCTTCAGAGCTGAGGATTTACTGTTGGGAAAACGTTGATGTATTCCTTACACACAGCTCAGGACAACTAATTGAAATCAAAATGTCACGTACGCACTTGATCCTCGTTTACAGGAGTGTTTCTGCATCCTCGTCAAGCTGCCGCTCGTCCTGAGGAAACCGATCTGGAACATTAGGCTTGGGTTGCAGTTTCTATTTACATTCCTCGGGCTCAGAGGAGCCCACCCCCCAGCCTCGAACCGTGCTGTGTCCGCTCACCGGGCCTCCGCTGAAACCCGACCTGATAATGTGAATGACTAAGTGTTTTATCAAGAGGGGGGGTGTGAAAGTGAAATATGGTAATAGGGTGAGGCTGCCTTATTAGTTATCAGGAAGAGAGTTGATTTTAATTCTCAAACAGAGCCGATGATTGTCCTCTGCAGAAAACTTTACACGACAGAAACAAGCCTGGAAAAGCATTAAATCTGAGCGGGACAGCCTCTGTGGATGAATCATCCTCAGGTTTTCCATCATTTGATGCAGAAACACGAACAACAGCAGCGTCAGCTCTGTGACTGAGCTACCATCAGAGGTGATGTCATCACTTTCACACTGATTGGAGGTTTAACGTCGACTGAAACATTCATCCAGATCTGAGGCCTCAGAGTCTCCTCCTGCATGTTTTATTCACTCAGTAAATCCAGGAGGAAACTGAAGGAGAGAGGGGTCAGAGAAAGAGAAAATAAAAACAACTTTCTTCTTTTTTTTGTTTGTTTTGTTTTGTTTCAGGAGGAAACATGAAGTTCTGTCAAAAAGGAAATCAGCTGAAACTGTTTCTGTTCAAATATCTGGTAAAGCGAAGGAAACGAGGCACATTTTCCTGAATTATTTGGAAGCAGTAAATAACAGGAGAAGTGACTGATGCACAGAAAAACTTTAACCCCCCCCCCCCCCCCAAAAAAAAAATTAAAGAAAAGAAAAAAGGTCATGTCTATTAGATGGAAGCAAAAAATAAAAACGGTTCCACTGAAGTGACATTTTCATTTGCTTCATGTTTTTAACTACGACATGTTTGTTAAAATGATCCGAGTCCTTCTGGTGATTTACATGGGTTTATGAGGGAACTGTGTCAAATAACTCCCACAAAGTCATGCCTGTAAAACTGACCAACACTAAACACCGTCACTTATTACGTCTCATTTGAAATATCACAAACAGCATCTGATCGAAACAACTAAACACCGGAACACCTGAGCCCAGGGTCGAGTTTTACAGCTGACTGTTCTGAGCTCAACAAATGAGTTCAGACCAGCTGTGATTTCTGCAGGTCTTTCATCTGAATCTGCTCCACAGGGAAAAATACGCAAAAATCAATTCTTTTATTTATTTTTAATAAATGGAAACTAGAGTTCCACATGTCTGAAATTAAATTGTGTCTGCTACAGCAATGCAACTGTTACAATCTGCATTTATTCACAGCCCACTTCAGCACCCAGCTGTATGCTTTTATTTTTCCGCCTTCCTCCGAGCATGATTTCAGCCGCTGCAGAGATTTCCACCTTCAGAAAGGATTTCCCGAGAGGACACACCGGTTTCAGGATTTCATACCGCTTGTCTCATCGTTTGCAACTTTTCCAAAGCTTGAGAAAAACCAGTCTGGAACAAGTCCTCAAAAACATCCAGGCTTTATCATTAAATGTAATCTGGAGGAATAAAATTAACTTGCTTGTTTTGATAGTTTTCTTTTTGCCTTGAATCTCTCTATAATTTCCACTAACTTGTCCTGGTTACAAATACAGTTGCATTTAGTCTTTTTAAAGATCTTATTTATCCCATTTTATTATGAGACTTAATAAACTCCTCTCTAACATTAGGCAATTCATGTGACAGAAAAACACAATATCAGCTAAATGTACTTTATGTTAAAATGATTAGCAGTAAATGCCCCCAGTGGCTGATTAATTTAACTATGAATGCAAAAAGCAACATTTTACTATGAAGGTTGTTTAGAAGATCTAACGGAGTAAAAACTAGTCATTGATTAATGGCTTATTTTTAAAGTAAAAATGTAATTTCTTAGGTTTTCTGGTAGTCTGGTAATTGTTTTCCCTTCATTCTTACAATAAAAACTACAGAAAAAAAGGTACAAGACTGAACTTTACAGGTAATTCCAGCTCAGTTATCATTGATTGATTTACAGTTACAGTTTGGATTGATAGTTTAGAACAAAAACTGTGCAGGCGCATTGTTTATTTATTGGAACTACTTTTAATTTAATCATTTTAAGGGCAAAAATCTAATAAATGTTTATAATTGGCTTGTTATCTTGCACAAATGATATGTATAAAAACATAGGATTTCTGGGATATGAATTTAAAATAATGTACCTTAGAACTAGTTGATGTATGTAAACATTAAAGTAAATCATATTTCCATCAGTAATCAGGACATCAAAGTATTTATTATGAACTTTAAAGGTGATAATAATAAGGGAACAGGTGCATGATCAGTGGGTGGGTCTGTTCCTCCTGAATTACAACAAGGTGCAACATTTCCCCCTCACCTGCAGAAATATATAAAAACATTTAAAAGTTAAAACCATCTGTTTTCACCCGCAATGAGTTTCTCCTTCAGCAAAACTTCCCATTTATTTAACTTTATAATTCATTAAGCAAGAAAGACTACAAATGAGTCGCAAAATTGCCGAAACATATGGATAAAAAGCCGAAAAAGGCAGGTTGAAGTTTAAGGAGCAGAGGGGGACAGTGGGGTGGGGGNCAGCGGTTCATCCCCGAAAACTGTCACCGAAAAGCGGACTTACCTCCACCGAGTGTCCGCTGACCACCGAGAGGTGCAGAAGCAGCTCAGCAGCTCAGCTTGTCCAATAAGAGTTGATTTTCGTGTTTTGCTTTGTTTTTTAAGTCTCCCGTAACCGTAACGGAGTCCCTTTCTGGTGTCAGTCTGTATCCGGACAGCGTGGGGTCGGAGCGGGAACAGCAGCGACGTGGTCCGGCCAACCTGCTACCAGCGCGCCGCTCGGTGCACGGGGTGGTGGAGGTTGTGGTCGCGCGTGCGCACAAGCACAAACTACTGCAAAAACAAAGATCGTCTAATAGAAAGATGTTCCATTTAAACTTTGGAGACTCTTGGAGGTTTCATACCTGAAGCTGGGCTTGTTGACGCATTTTTTCTACCTTTTACAATTAAGGGTTAATTAATTACCTGTGCTAGATTTTTTTTTATTAATCCATAATGCATTAACTAAACACGCTTCTTCCTTTCAGGGTCACGGGTACACCTTTGCAGACAGGGCCATGATCACATGGGCTCACAAATAACCTCTCATCCAGGGACAATTTAGAGTTGGCTTTTTGGACTGTAGACATGCACGGGTATAAGATGCAAAAACCATTAATGAAAACGTACTAGGTCAGGTTTGATGACTGCAAAGTTACATCTTTATCAACAGCACCAGATTTATCAAAACTTGTGTCATATCTCTTGTTTGCTTACTGTAATTTCTACAGTCTTCAAGTCTTATTTTTTTGTTTTCAACATCAAGATATTATAATATATGTAAATACTTTATAATACACTGAAGCACTTTGTTATTATTTTTTTCAAGAAATGAACTAAATTCATGTTGAAAAAACAAATTCACTTTTTGCTTTATAGGACATTTGTTAGAATTCAGAGTTTCACATTGTTATTAATAATGTTTTATTCTCAGATTACAAGCTATGGATGTTTTCTGCTGATGGCCTCTCTGTAAATTTACAAACACAGAGTTTAAAGTTGGAATCTGAAATTACAATTTAAACAAGTAACATCAAGAACACCGGTGGTTTAAAATGACTGGATGGTCAGCGCAGCTGTTTGTCTTTTAGTCAGTTGTTTATGGAACATCTGCAGTCTTTAATTTAAAAAACCAGCAGTTTGATTACATTCTGTTTGTGTTCACATCAGCCAGGACAGGAGGGCTGCATGTTTACAGGGCTGCTGAAGACATTTACAGTCTAAAGTCCTTTGTACATTGTGTGACATTTAAAGATAAAAGCTTTTATCTCCTCAAACAGAAACTCTTTAAAATCCACATCATGATCATTTGGGAAAAGAGTTATGTAGATTTCAACATGAGTTTTTTTTCTGCTTTAGTGGAGGGATTTTGTGGCCTCCACTAATTAAAAAAAATGTGATTTTGTACATGCTGTAACAAATAATATAATATTCCACCTGGTATAATCAAGTGATAAATTTAAACCCTTTTTTATAACATATATACATTTTGTGCATGTCTGTTAGCTGTATTTCTCTGTTTGTAATGTTTGACTAAGTTTTCTTTACACTAAATGGAGCTGTGTTTAATCTGATTGTATTTTTTGTACAATCACAAAAACAATCTTGTAGCCAAGAAATTTGTGTTGCAGAAGCAGAAACAATCAGTGAACTGTGATTTAGTTGTTGTGATTTTATTTTTATTTATTTTTCTGTTATTAAAAAACAATAAATTAGCAGCAGGTTTGATCGGCTGCACTGCAACTAAAATGTATTTCCAATTTAATTTACAACAGCCTTGATTTATTGCAGAATATTTGTATGAAAAAGGCTTTAATGAGCTTATGACTTACTACATGATGTGTTATTTTTATTACTTTTGTAATAGAATATGATAGGCAAACTCTCCTGATCTCTTTTCCCAGCTCCATGAAGCTCATTTAAACACAACAAAGGAACTGTGGGGTGTGTGTGAACATTCACACCTGAAGTGTGAAGACTGGTGAAGTTTCAGCTCTGCGACTGTTTTGTGTCTCTAATGCAAACAGCAAAACGTGGGAGTTTTGTTTATGGTGGATTTTTATTTGTTTTGTCTTTTTGTCACCTTTTAGTGGCAGGAGAAAAGGCTGCCTCTCCACCCAAAAAACATTTCATAAATCATTACAAATAGAAGAAAACGATCCCTGGTACAAGTGGCTGTAATGAGTTTTGTCACTGTGTCAAACTCAAGGCCCATGGGCCAAATGTGGCTCACCATTGCATCTTATGTGGCCCGGAAACACTTCAAAGATGTTTTAAAGTGTATCTTACCCCCCTGTGAAAAGATAACTCCGCCCCAAGGTGAAATTTGAAAAATGCATCAAAGTGGGAAGGGGAGGGGGTGTGGGTGGRGGRRGSGGGGTTAGAGAGCGGAGGTGTGGCCAGGACGAGAGAACGTGACAGGCAGCTAGCATTAGCATAATTGATGCTACATGGAGAGTGACCACAGTATCGCAGATAGTTACATCTCTAAACGGTCTGAGGTGGAGGATTTTTCACCCCCCTCCTCACCAGAGGCAGTGAAAGACTTGATCAAGTCAGCTCAGTCTGGGACTGACTCGTGTTGGCTCCATGGATCAGGACCTTGAGCTCCAGCAGCCTCGGCTGAGCTGTCCGCCTCACACCACACCAGCACCGGATAGAGGAGGTGGAACGCTCCGCGACAGCCTGACAGAAAAAAAATAAAAGCATACAGCTGCAGCTGCTCACAAGATCACTGGTTTAAATCAGGAATAAAAATGTTGGGTCTTGTCTGACTGAAGTTCGGTTTGTTAGGGCTGCAGCTGCCCCGCTGCCTTTCTGCCTTTTTTTCCCTCCTCCCCTCCCTGTGCAGGACGTACTGCTGGAGTGTGTGTGTGTGTGTGTGTGTGTGTGGGGGGGGGGGGGCGCAGCAGTCAGCTCTCTCCACCCGAGGCTGAAGGTCAACAGACGATCATGCTAAGCTTGCTAACTGTTCCACACTCTGACTGCTGCAGGGGCGTGTCTTAGAGAGAGGCTTTTATACCAGAACACAGCCGCTGTGACGAAACCATGGAGAAGACACGTCACCGTGGAGAGCCGTTAACCAATATGCAAATTAGCCTGCAGTACCACTGCTCTACCCATATGAGCACCAAAAAGACGTTTTTAGACCAAATATTACAGATTTGAACAAATACGCACAAAAACATCAAAAATTAGCACAGAAACAGTACTATATAACATTTTAGACACAGGCAGTTTATCAGCTAAAAAAGTTAATTTTGGGGTAAGTTACTCTTTAAGGTCTTCAAATAAGCTGCTTTAAGGCCAGCATTGATCACATCTCTCATAATGCGTGTTGAATATTTTACTTGTGAAATGATAGCATCCCACCACTAGGTGGCGCTGCACAGGGTTCAAAACATGTAGACTTAAATATAAAGATCGCTAGACTAAGCCCCACCCATACCGTCCACTGGTAGCACCTGTAACAGCATGGAGGAGCAGAAACAGACCTAAAAGGGAAACAGCTCACAGCCTCCATAGAAACTAATAGATAAACAGCAGCTGAACTGGATCTGTTTCACACATTATCTGTCATGTTTTTACAATAAATTAATAATTATGTTAATTTCATTCAACAATCATGTAAAACAGTAGATTTATACCAGAAAAATATATAATTTATAAGTAACAATGATCTAAACCAGACCTGAAGTCAGCCTGTAACTAAGACTTTAGCTAGTTGAAAAATGATGACTTCAGCTAGTAATAAAGTATATTTATTATTTCTTCTTACAGTCATGGAAAATAAGAATATTTATATTTATCAGTCACTTAGAAAATGTTCTCTGGTTATGGGATGAAACTTGTCTCTATTAGCTAACATCTTCTTAACAGGTCAGGTTCCTCTAACAGAAACCTAAAAATACTCACATTTATAATATTATTTTACACTCTGTAGGTCTAAATATTAATCAGAGGACAAAGTAATATTTAATAGTTTGTGTTAAATTGTTGCATGATTCAACAGAGCTAAACTCTGTATATATGCTCCACAAGCTAATATCTGCTAACCAGTTCAATAAATAACAGTGTTTACATGGACTTTATAAGATTATTTTAATTTTAAACTGTTACATTATGTTCTGCTCAGATCACATTGAGCTAAATAAGATCAAATCTGCTGACTTGTGTTGTAAAATGAGACGTTTTCCTGTTTATCTTCTGTTAATAAATCCATAACAAACAGCTTTTCTGACATTATTTAAAACATTAGATAAATTATATAAACTGTAAAATATCAATAATAATTGGGTTAATATTATTAATAGTTTTTATGATTTCTACATCGTCAGTCCGTTTTTTCTGCTCTGTCATCAACATGTACAGTAATGGGAAATCCAGAGTCTTGACCATTTAGCGTTAGCCGTTAGCTTCTCCAGCCGATCACACGTGGATTCTGCGCACTCCAGCCGTTCTATAGGACCTCCTTGGTTCAAAAGCATACGACAAAATTCACCTTTTAAAATCTCCTTTTAGCTGCCGTTTCATCAGCAACTTTGGCTGCGTCCCAGTTGGGAATTTCCCACTTACAAGTCATAAATTTAAACTTGAACAGTGGGAATTCCCTGATGAAAAGTGGGAGATTTCAGAATAGCTACTCAGCACAATTCACCAGTGAGTAAAAGTCTCTTACTTTTCCTTTTAACAGTATTTCTGTGGTGTTTATTTCACATTTATTCAGTCGCACACGTTGTACTTTTCAGTGTTTATGAGGACGTGTTAAAATACTGTTTCTGTGCAGGAAATACCAGGTAGAGCTCAGTTGGTGTTTATTAGCGGTGCTCAGGAACGTGATGTTTCATGTTTAATTGATATTAGTTGCAACTTCAGATCCTCAAGAGGAACAGGAGAGGAATGTTGGGTTTTTCTGACTCAACATACTCTGATCTTAGTTTAAAACTCAGGCGATGCGCGTCCCTTCAACAAATGCAAATAGGTGCTCCAATCTGTGATGTTCTTTTTCCTTATTTCTCTTTTTTAAATATCATCATTCCACTCTACTCAGTTGGACTTTTCTGGCTCCTGTCTGCAGGGAGAATCTGCTGGGTGTAGGTGGAATCAGCTGCTCGTCATCGCAGCTTCACGCAGAGCCGTGGCAGAGATGCATTCTGGGCCATCTGATCCCCAGGTGGACTTCTCTCCGTGCGTGTGTTCACACCTAGAAATAAAATGTGTTACATGCAACCTCAGTGACATACATGCAAGAAA